TAGGATATAGTCTGACAAGCAAGTCCAATGCGGATTTTTGTCATAATTCATCCGTTTTCCAAAGGTTGTGATAGGTCTTTGAAATGCAGGTTTCATTAGGAAATTTTCTTCCACAGTTATGAGAAATTAAAGTTGCATATTACAGTAAAGGCACATGCCGTCGCAGAGATTCAAACCATCACCCTCTTAATTGAAAAGTAATCGTTCTCGCACTTGGCTATTACGGCCCTATTTCCTAAATTGACTTTTTTTATATCTAGCTCCGCCTGGCTGTCTGCAATACTACCCCGATCGTGCAGGCGCATTTGAATCGTTCAACTATAACCGCGGCGCGGGCCCGTACATCGCTAACCTCGCTTACGCCGTTTGCTTTAAAAGGACTCCTGACGTGTGTGGTATTAAGTAAGTACCTTTTTAAAATCTTTAAACTCTTGTTTTTTCTTATTGTATCGATGACACACCTATACTATAATGCTTGCCATCATGGTGAAAGGTAAGGTCGCTGATTGCAGCCAAGCCAAAGAAACTCGAGCTCTTTAACCAGGATTGTCCAGTTAGTAGAGACTATGCAAAAGCCTGCTAAAGAAATGTGGGCTATTCTAGAGCATTTCAATTGCTTGTGACCTCTCAACAGAGCTTTTTATGACAGTAATTAGTCAACAAGGCCTCCTGCCACAGCAGACTTAATATTTGAACTTTCTGTGCTGAAAATATTATAATGTACATGTTGATTCTTGAAAACGCTTAGCTGTCCTACACTGCAGTCTGCATTCTCCAGTTCTTAGTTGCTTCTCTAAACACTATAACTCCCTTTTCAAGGCATAGATCTTATCTAACGAGAGGTTAAAAGCCATAGTCCGCTGTTCTGGCCTAATCTAGTTTCGGAACATCACATGTTGTTCAACGGTTGTGAAACTTGTTCGATATGTAGGTTTTATCACGATACTTTCCTTCGCCTACGTGATAACGTACGTGTATAACGTGATAACCAAAAAAAAAAACAAAACCTTTTCTGATTTTACACCAGGTTTACATCAGCCAGCTTCGACATGGCGTACCGTAACGACGAGAACTTGTACCTGGATACAGACTGTCAGATCAATCCGGTGACTCAGGGAACAGCGCAATCTGAGGACTATCTGTTTATCCCTGAAGCCGAAACCGCTGATGGACTTAGAGGCGCTAAGTTCTGCGGTACTAGTGCTTCTAACCAGATTATTGCATGTGAGTATAGAGCAAAACTGTAGCAGTTACATAATATGTATATTTTGTAAACTATGTCGTTTATTTGGTAGGTAAATAAATAAAGAAATATGTCAGGTACTCTACAATTTAGTTTCGTCCTCATCGTTCCTTCTTCCGTCGACTACTCACTATAACGACGGTATCTTATCCTGTAACGATTTTGGTCATTTCTTTGTTATTCTAATATAAATAAACGGTGGATGAAAACACAGCTGCGCGTCAATTATCAAAATTGTTAAGGACATCAAGTCTTCAGCACGTTTGACGGGTTTGTTACTCATATTCAACCGTTGTAAGAGTTCCAAATATCGAATGAACACTTTGTACAGTGAAAATATTCAATAAACATATTCATAAAACTTTTTTATCTGTATTTGGCGTACTTCCCACTTCCTCAGTGAATTATTAATCTGGTGCATTATCAAAAATCATGGAAGAAAAGTTTTATAATACAGTAATAGAGCCCTACGGGGTTATTAGCATTTTACAAATAAATTCTGTATTTACAAAATTTCACTTTCCTAATTTGAAAATTCCGCTTTTTCAGCTACCCCACCTGGCCCACTCTACGTTCACTTCCACAGTGATAATCTAGTGACTGACGACATTCCAGAATCCGGTTATAGGTTCAGCTACAACGTACTCAATAATTGCTACCTGAAGAATACACAGATACGAATTTGAATTTTATATATTTTTTACACGACGAGGTTGTAGCTCTAGTGGAAATTTACAGTTTATTTTTAAGACTTCTTATGCGGAGAAATTCCTAGTGTCCCACTGGTGAAGTGGTCTCCTTTGGGAAGGAAATTATAGTGTCATGGTAGATTTTTAAAAAATGCTCAAAATTGTTTTTTAGTATTTGAACTGAAGTACGCCAGAATATGCATTTATTAGTAAGATTCTGTTTTTACTATTATAATTGTACCAAGACTCAAGTTTGTATTTTATAATTAGAAATAGCTTAATAAAATATTTTTTTTAATATCTATTTTTTTATTTTTCACGCAAAATAGGCGCCTTTGTCGTCGAGTTGCGGACACCAGCCCGTTACACCAAGTACCAAAGTACCAAATATCTATTTGGTTTTTTTTAAGAGAGATGTTTGTTATAAATTAGTATTTTTTATGCTTAAATAGATAAGTTTAGGAGCAGTAGAACCACTTTACCTATTTCTGCCGCCAAGCTGTAATGTGAGCATTACCGCATTCAGGTATTAAAGGAATAAGAGTGCTGGTGAAATTACAGGCACATAGGACTTGTCAACTTATGTCTCAAGATGACAGGTGCAGTGGCAGTACCCCTAAGATCTTTGCGATTTAAAGTCCCGAGTGGCAACTGCAACTGTTACGGACAGGCGTGTAGCTTACCATACACGACTTGTTCGTCCCGTCACTTGATATTATAAAAAATCCCATGTAAAGTCAAAGGCAGAGGGAAATAAATTAAGAAAGTAAATAAAAAATATGGTAAAATATTAAATTTATTTACGTAAAATAGACGTCCATTTAAATTATGTAAACATTGACAAAAAATATACAATTTCTTAATTAAATTTATTCAATATAAATTACTTTCCGAGTAACAAATACATGTATATTCGCGTCATGACTAAAGAGCATTCGCAAACTGAACGAATTACAATGCAAGCAAATACAGTCTCAATTTACGTCGCTGCGGGACGAAATAGAAGTAAAGTTTTGTACATAGCATAACGAATTTATGTGAATTATGTAAAGTACAAAGTAAATACAATAGGGTAGTTCAATTGCAAGTATTTTCTTGTAATATTATTGAATATTGACAAATATAAGGCAATAGACGGCATTGTGTGTTATAAACTAATTTATAAATTAACCTAATATGGGTAGATGGCGCTAATCCTAAACAAAACAAACGAATAGCCGGCACTATCCATAAAAATTTGTGGAATCAGCGCCATCTAGTTGATTTACCTGTTATCACTAGAAAATAGTGTACCTTGTATGTGCGTGTCAATGCAAAACAAATTAGTTACAAAAATAGCTATCTGGTACTCGTCGCGACATCTGATGTACGAATAGGTACTAAATACCCGACTACGCTGTCTTGTAGCGTGGTTACCAATCCTCTTGAATCATTGGTCCATGCACAATATACAATTGACATAAAGTGCATTATGCAATGGTTACTAAAATACGCTTCAATTGCGTTCATTAGCAATATAAATTGAGCCTAAATCTCCGACTGAATAAGTTTATAATGGAGGATGATTACCTCAAGGAATACTTCTTATGGACGCCCCGATATATATTAAAAAAAAACTCAATAAATGACTACATTGACGCGTTAATTTAAAATTACAAACTTTTGCTTCGATTTCGGATATTAAAAAAATCAGTCCATTAAATTTCGATGCAAATTTGATAAACATATTTATATATATAAGCCCACACAACAGAAAGATTAATTCTCAATAATTTTGCCTTAACTCATTCTTATCTATCAGGTTTAAATTATTACTTTACATTTTAGTTTCCTATGAGTTAATAATATCATCATTAGCAGTTTTACGTACTATACATAAGTTTAAAACCTTTCAGAGTACAGACTAAATAACTGATACACTTTTGGATATTACTATGTTAATTTAGTTTTATAACAAACAATATCCCTTATTCGGGCTCCAAGGGAGGAATCTACATAAGTATTAGTGTCTGTAGAGATCCTTATAAAAGAATTTATCCAGGCAAATACCTTACCTGTTTCTGCCACCAAACAGTAATGTGAGCATCACTACGTTCCGGTTTTGAATGGTAAGGATGCTGATAAAATTACAGGCACATAGGACTTGTTAGCTTATGTCTCAGGGTGGCACAGTGGCAGTGCCCCTCAGATGTTTGCGATTTAAAGTTCTAAGTGGCACTACAACTGTTATTGGCAGGCGTGTCGCTTACCACCAGGCATATGACATCTACAACCCATTTAAAAAATTCATCTCCCAAAACGGTCCTCATCTAGGGCCCAGAATGTAATAAAAAAAAAGTCAGTGGTCGGTATGTTTAATCTATAATCTGAAGGTCAAGGGTGTTTCATAAGAGAAGAACCAACCAGGGTTTCAACTAGTCAAGATAACCAACAGTTAAAATTGGCCACGCATCGGATTCTCTCAAGACGGAACTTCACATGTGCGTTGAGAGACCGACCAACGTGAGGTAAAGGTAGTTTGGTGTGTGCTGTATTTGCCGTAAAGGCAAACAAGGCTAATACATTGTCACGTGCACTATCTGCACATGGCGATTGTTTGCCAAATAATTAAAATACAAATAGCCATGTGAAATGCCACCATTAAGATCAACGCAAAGAATTTGACTCCATATATATATAGTATATTTTAGATAGAAATATTATTGCTTTATATTTACAATTTCTTATTATTAATATTACGAATAAATAAGGAATTTAAAAATAAATGCTTTTTCAATATTCGTAATCACAATTCCAAAATAAATTATAGATATTATATTAATTTAATTAATACTAAAACCATCATGAATTATTTCCTATATGTAAAAATGCACTTCGTTATAAAAAAAATCACATGAAAATAAACAAAGTTTAGACAAGCAGTTTCATTTTATATACATGACATTAATACAAACATATATGTACGTATTCTGTGGTATATTTATAAATATTGTATTTTTAAATTAATTTTAACATTTTTTATCCGATATAAATTTTGACAGATCTAATTAATAAATAGCACCTATCATATTTTGCCTAGGTGTGTGCGTGAGACAGTTTTTAATTTTATGACTTTGCACCTGTAAGAATAGGCTCTAATTACCATTTTTTAAAGTATAAAACAGAAATAAGTTTCCCTTCTGTAGTGATTAAACATAAGTTGATTTTTTGGGCCGACCCAGACAGAACTTAAAACTGTTGTATCTGAATTGGCCCAAACAGTTTTTTACATTACAAATTCCTTATTTAATTATTTCTAACTTCTATAAAACGGGGGTCCCCTACTAACCGTATAGGTTGACAATGGGATACCTTTTGTCCCGTAGATCGCTTCGGGCGCGTTCTCGTAATCGACGTCATAGTAGATTCCAGTTTGGTTCTGTAAACATAAATATAGATGGAGTTACTTCTTTGAGCCGTCACAGATAGACCGTTGTTCAACATTCAAATGTTTATCAAAGAGACACCTGAATACTAATTTCCTTCCTACTCTGTAAAATTATATCACATTTTGGGCTTACTATGAATTGCAATTAAATGCAATTAAGCCAATGCAATTCATTTATGGAAAAAAAATATTTCAAGTAAGAATTTCATATAATAGATAAGGTAATAAATTTGAATGTTTAAATAGATTATAAATGTTTATAGTCATAGAGTGGCATAGGGCATTGCACTAAATAAGATAAAAAACCTACGGTCAAAGAACGTAGAATTACATCTTTTTGCAATGTTTTACTGAAATCGGTTACCAGAAAGTTTGCCACCCTTAGAGGTAAAATATTTTCTTCAAATTTAAATGAGACGCATACTGAGGGTACCTCTTTCCGACAAAAAAAATAATCATCAAAATCGGTTCACAAACCGGTGTTATCGCGTAACCCACATACAAAAGAACACAGTCGAATTGAGAACCTCCTCCTTTTATTGAAGTCGGTTACTGGTCGGCAATTGTCAAATCCTCGCATATTCCACCATGTGAATTAACAAGCAATCAAAACTTTTCCAACCAAACTATATCACATCACTACAAAGTTCCGACTACGGAGTAATACACTAATACTCACATGCATACTTCTGGCTCTGGACTTGGGTCGTGGTACGAGCAGGTCAGCTCTCTCCTGTACGTGGCTCGAGGCCTCGGAGCTCGTGGACTCTGTCGCCATATGATTTGTATAGCCTGTAAAAAATCAAGACATGATCCACACGTTGGCAGATGGTTTTAAAATTCTTCAAAGACGCTCTTTTGGGGGATCAACGGTAATGTACAAGACTTGTGTACTGCATGTTACACACATTAATTTTGATTAAATGAAATTTATGGCACTATCCTGGTTCAATGCGGGTTGGCAACCGTCTTCAAAGGTTGTGAACCGTCTTCAACATACAAATTACATCGATGTTTTCCTTTACAGTTAACGAGATGCATTGCTGCTAAATATTCACAAATTCTCATGTGGCTATAAAGATTCGAACCACTGTGGCTAGCATTATTGCACTCCAAAATAGCACAACAAGGCATTTTTCTACGATTTTAGAGAAATTGCCCACAACCATACCGTACAAAGCGTAAATAGTGGACTGAGCTCAAGTTGGCCAAACGACGCTTACAGTTGGCACGCGTGCAAAGCTAACTAATCACTTCTACTGTATTTATTGTTCTGTGATTCGAATCGTCCACCTTTGAGAAGCAACACTATTGTGCTACCATCGTTTATTTATTCGTTCGCAATTGGTATCGTTTACATTTGAGGCCATGAGAACCATAGTGGCCTAACTCATTTTTCTATTGAGTTAATGATTTTTTCCAGTTCAAATTGATCATTTTGATAGAACCAGAAAGGCTTAAAAGTGATACAACGAATTTTCACTAGATGGCAGCATAATCATTGTTATGGTTTTTAGTCTGTGATCTAAATTTGAGGTGCCATACTGGCCTAAGTAAGATAGGCCACTATGGCTTGTCCATTGAATTAGGCCACTATGGTTCTCATGGCCTCATTTGTTGTCGATACTACATCAGTTCGAATTCAAATTTTTCCCGTACTAATACGGTTAATTTTGCTTCAGTCAAGTGGCAGGGATACTGGCTTTATTTCAGAATTCATTTTTTTTACAAACGAAATTCAAGCCATTCGAAAAATGTATACCGTATACTATATACTTGTTCAATTGATATAAAAAAAAATGTTGGTATATATAAAGTACTTATTGAATGCACCGGTTTTCTTGTAAAATTTCGACGTAAGTTTGTGTTTTTTTCTATCGTTAATATTTTTAGGAATCGTGTTTTCATACCGGGTACTAATCGGTGCATATCATCAATTTTACTTTTTTTTTTTTAGTTTGATTCAACACTTTCGCTGTTATGCAAGCCTTTGGGGTCGTATAGACTCTTAATAGGAATATAAGAATTGCTTACCATATAAATTGTGATGAGAAGCTGTATTGACTCTGGAAGCAATGGTGTTCATTGTACCCGTATGGTGACCTTGGAGAGCCATTCTGCAGAAAAACATTATCATAAATAAATAAATTATGGTCAAGATAACCACATCTTTGAACTAGTTTCAAACTAAGGATTTTTTTGTAATACCGTTAAGCGACACGCTTGTCCATAAAAGTTGCAATACCACTCAGAGCTTTAAATCTCAAATATGAGGCACTGCCACTGCACCCGTCGCACGGGGAGATCAGTTGACAAGTCCCATATGCCTGTAATTTCACCAGCACCTTTCAAAACCGGATCGCAGTAATGCTCACATTACCGCTTGGCGGTAGAAATACGTGAGGTGTCAGTATTACCCTGGACGAACTCTTTCACAAGGAGCTCTACTGCTACTTATTATTTTTAACTTTATGGAATTTTAATACTATGAGGACCAGCGAGCGGAATTCAGTCCGGGGCAATACCCAAAACACCCAGAACAGAATCAATTTCGAAAAGTTCCTTTCCCAAATTAATTTTACTGGTAACCGAAACCCAGGACTTCTTGGGCCATCTAGGTCGTACATTTTTTTCAGACATAATGAAATCGTTTATGTCATGTTATCACAATTATCATTGATTGACCTGACATAGTTTTTGCCATCCATCATGATCCTGTCCAAATCTCAACTAATTACAGTCCGGGTCATTGACGTCATTTACCCATTTCAATGTCAGCATATGATAATAATAATATAATAACGCATATAATCATAGCCCTACTACTAGCTAACTAGGGAAACCCTGTACCGCAGGTGCCATATACTGGAATCGAACCCGGAACCTCTGCGTGGCAGACCAGGGTGGTAACCGTTCGGCCACGGATGCACTTCAAATATTACAATTTATAACATAAATGTCAATGGATAACAGTATGACCGTCACTAATAGAAACAACATATTAAATAAACCTATTTTCTTGGATATAAGCCGCGTAAGTATATTTGGATGTTTTTTTCAAACAAATCAACGTTTTTGGCTCCTGTCAGCCAACGTTTTTGGGACCATCATCATGGGACACATCCCATGATCATGGCTGACTGAGTTGGTAAAGTCATCAACCAGTCATGTCTAATATTAGTACCCCCAGTATTTCCTCTGATGAATAATCCCAATCAGACATAAGACTGCAGTGCTATTCATGAATATGCTTTATTTTATTTCTAATTTCGTTTGCAATAATAAATATAATTTCATTTTTAAGTTTTCTTTCAATATCAAAATGTTTGACCACCATGATATTCTTTGTATTAATAATTATAACAAGCTAGTGGAGTAATTTCACAAACGTGATTAAATATCATGGTGGTCATTCAATAAAACTTAAAAATTACAATTATAAAAGCGACACCTCTAGTCAGCTGCTGGTAGCTGTAAAAGTACCTGCCAGAGTGAAGAATAGATTTCTCACAGATGGCACTATGGCAAAAAGTCGTTAAAAACATAAAACAAAGATCTGCATATAGAAAAATTCGTAAGGTCCGTTAGTTCGTTCCGTGGCTTCATACATAGCTTCTGGTAGACGTTGATTCGAATGCAGAATCAAGGAATTTTTTCTAAGTGGTCGATCTTTGTATTAATAATAATAAATATAATTTAGTAAAAAATATATATACATATATTGTTAAAATATTTGCAAATCGTATGTAGCGTAAATTAAATAAATAAATAACGCACACACTCAACATAGCCCCGCACTAGGGAAACCCTGTGTCGCGGGTGCCATGGACACACACATAGACAACCACAAATTACACCCAAACTCACGAGAGAAATAATTGTAGGCCATACAACTATTTCTCTCGGCCCGGGAATCGAACCTGGGACCTCTGCGTGGCAGTCCGGTATGGTAACCGTTCGGCCACGGAGGCAGTTAAAAATTGGAATGTTGTTTTTAAATTAAAAATATAAATTAATGGTTATAGTATGAAAGTAACACTGTAAGTAAGCACTGAATAGAGTGCTAGACGTGACGCGGTCGCGAATGTCGCATTCAACCCCTGATGAACCATCGATTATGGTTGAAACTAGTCGGACCGCTTCCGACTAAAATACTACGCGAGTAAGTCCCGTTACTTTTATACTATAATGTGTGATAACCGCGTTAGTTTTCATAATAAAAAATTAATAGTTTGTTCCAAAATAATATACACTATTTACATTCAGAAGAATAGTTTTAATTTTAGTGTCCAATGCGGGTTCAATATAAAAAATAACTACCCCCGTATGACACAGACTGTATTGAACATTTTACCTGGGCATGGGTACAGGAGGCAACGTGGGATATCCTCCAAACATGGCCGATGATGGTCTGGTTGACATCGTTTGAACTGGTTCTGGCTGCTGGAGCAAATAATATAGCGATTAAGAAATATGTAAACAATTTCATATAACGTAATCAACGTTTATTATAACAACATGTGACGTCAACGATCCCAGACCTACGAATTCGTCCGTAGTTCGACGGAATTTGGCTTCATCTACATGGAAATTATTAACAAATCGTCCAAATAAATTAATAAAAATTTAAAATTACTGTGATATAAAAGGTAAATTAGGATACATAAAAAATACATGTATTATCACGAACATGTTAAAATCGACTAATAATCCGAAAAATATGAAATAGTGGAAATTTTTTGCCAAAAAATTGCAAAAATTTGAAAAATATAAATTTGATGGCTCATATAATGTTCTACGCTTAGAAATATCTTTTGAAGTTTTAATTAGCGTGAGTTAGAAAATAAGACTTGTATACAAGAAAAACGAGATTTAAAATTATTTCACAACAGCGAAATAACTTTTTATTGACTTCATCGTTTTCTTTTAAGTAACTTTAACTTTTGACGGGTGTCAACGTCAATTGTGGAAAATTATAGGAAAAATGTTGATAAAAGATTTCTTTTTCTGTAAAATATGTTTTTCTTTTAATGTTTGTTAATGGATGTTTTCCATGACCCAACACTACTTACTATAAGAACGGTGCAAAAGTCAAACGCAATATGCTCTTGCTTGCAATAAAAATTATTTAAGATTTTCATATGACATTAACTGCCATATTAACAACATGCAAAGTTTATGTAACTGATCAAGGTACAGTCATCAAGTTTGACAATTTTATCCGAATATAGTGCAACAAAATAAGATTACTATTGTTAATTGATAATCAAAAGTAATTTAAAATAATGTTATTAACTCACCGCATAATGATTAGCCTGAGCCATAGCTTCCGCAATCTGTGCCCACCGCAGTCTTTCTTCCAGAGTGATCTGATAAGGCGGTTGACCTACTGGAGGTGCCTTGATGGTGCTGGCCGCCATGTAGCTGAACACAGGGGACCCCATGCCAGCCGCTTTTTGCTCACGGGACCATTTACGACTGTAGTATTAAAAGCATAGTCTATAATTATGGGAGGTCATTTGTAAACGTCTCACGGCTATGTGATACGAAGGGAAAGCACTTTAAATATTGTTAATGTTTATTTTTAAAGTAAATAATACGAAATTCAAAGACTTTTAAAAAGTTGCTTGTTATATTTGGGAATAGAACCAACCAAAACTAAACAAAAAAACAACATCCTGCATTTTTATGATGCCGACCGAAAGAGTGAATTACAATGTTTAATTCAAATGAATAAAATAACATAATAGTAAATAAATGAAATAGAGCAGTAAATCTGTTATAAGTAATAAAAATATACAACGAATTACGTATTTTTTCATTACAATTACTCATAATATAACTTTATTACCTATTTTGAATTGCCCCATTTGGGTCATAAAGCAACAATAGGCAATATTATAGCTTACAAAGATACTTAAGGATAAATTCTATTATTTCATATTTAGTTCGGAATTATTGCAACGTTCATGGTCTGGAAGGGACTGAAAGTGCGGGCGTCAACATCTTCAAGTCGTGATAGTTTTTTTAACTACACTCACGACATCTTCAGTTCCTTCGACACCATGGACGTTGCAATACGTCCGAAACGTCGAGGTAATTAAAATATGTTTTATACACGATTAAATCCCGAACTAAAGATCAAATAATATGTGAAAATCGTGAGTTTAAATCAAAGTTTTACGTTCTATCTTTGTCGGCCTAAAAATATCTAAACCGGTCCAAAGGTTGTCTACGTCGGCCCGAACAACACATAATACTCTGATTTGAAAATTTTCATTTCTCTATAGGTTTTTTATGACGTTATTAAGAAACAATATTATGGTAAGTGTACCTCCAGGACAATAACGCGGCGAGCGTAAGGGCAATGACGAGCGCGGCAGCGAGCGAAGCACCCACTGCGACCCCCACCACCTCGCCATCGACTTCACATGTTGAACCGTAGTAGCCTGACGAACAGCTGTGTAGAGAGATCACGTTAGTTGGTCATTCATAGAACACAATTATAGCACCGAGTAAATATTGTCGTGTTTAAAGATGGTGTCTTCTAAGTCTTCATGCTAATAATGTAGCGACACGATTTATAGCAAATATTAATTACAATTTGTAACTATAGCCACACACACATGTAATACATAAAGAGAGATTTTAGAATATTCGTTTATGATACCTCTGCGACAGTGATGGATGGAATCATAGAATAGTATATACATAGTATGGACAAAACTTTTAATCACGTCATCAACAACGTACTTCTTGATATTGGAGTCTTCATAGAGCGTTCATCCTTAATCTGAAGAAAAATCAATAAACTGCAAAGACCTTCAACATAGTTTATAATGCGTCTCAATTTAAACATTACATGCACTTAAAACAAATATGGCCCTACGCAAAATCCCTGTGGAACACCTCACCGCATCGCGCGGAAACAAGCTCTACGCACCTGCAATAAGGCTGGCCGTCCTTGTACCGGCACTGACCCCGCTCGTTGCAGTGGCTGGCGGCGCACGCCTTGCAGTCGCGGCCCGCGCGCGCGCCCGGCGCCGCGTCCAGAGTGGAGTCGGGACACGCGCACCTGCGGGACGGGGATTGTTTATCTCGCACATACACGGGTACAAGCCTCATATTCTGTGATATCAAAGTGTCCTTGACGCCTAAGAACTTACTATGTCAATAAATATGACTAGAACATTTTTAATACACCTGTATAAAGTGGAACAAACTTTCATCGAATTTAAAGGTAAGTCCAGTGCATGAAACCAAACAAGTCATCTAGTTATAAAAGATGCTCTACAAGCAGCAAGATGAACATTATGTATTACAGTCAAATGCTAATAATAAAATAGTGATCAAATTGTGTTATAAATAAACAAGAAAATATAATGAATACCTGAATCCTCCCCATGTATTGGTGCATGTCGCCAGGGGATGACAATCATTGGTGTCTGACGATGCACATTCGTCCAAATCTAGGAAGACAATTACAGTTACATCCACATTAATAAACATTGGATCTAGTAGGGTGCCTTGAGGAACACCCATTCTGTGATTGACTTATTACTTCGAGTGAACAATAAAGAACTTGTGATGATACCTTGTTATATACACATAAACTAAGATGGTATAAGAGACCAACTTTAAGGGAGCTAAAATCAAACACATCCTAAATAATTTCGGTTGCAGTATACTACCCTGAGGTATCCCCATTCCAAACAGAAGCTTTATCGTTAAAAGGAAATACGGGTTGGAGCATCACCAAGATATCATTTAACAAACGCTTGTATCATTTGCTATGGTTCAATTTACACAAATTGAAAACAACCCAGGTCTTAGCAGAATACCTTGTGGGACACCTGTCGCATAGAATATTATAAAACCCTAGATATTGGTTAGATAATCTATGATGATCTATTACATGATCACTCCGTGTAAGTAACGATATTTGCCGAATAAAACTATATGACTGAGAAGTGCTAAAGTCACGTGTTACGCTTATTTCAGTGAATTCAAAACTTTAAAACGCTCCCCTGTAAACTTGGCAATGTCGACATACGATACTTTACGTAGGACGGATCGATTTATCCTGAAGCGCATGAGTAGTAAACAATGATAAACCCAGCACGAGAATTAATGAAACTTTGAATAAAAAAAAAAACAAAATCATAATCTCACCATTCAAAGGCAAAACGGCTCCAGCTGGCGTGTCCACCCACAAGGCGGACGCCCCAACGTTGTTTGAACGTCGTCTTATTACACCTAGTAGATGTTTCTGTATGTCTGTTGCGATCGCCGAACGGAGTGTTTCGGGGGTTTCTTGCATCTGTGGAAAACGGTTAGAATTTTGTGTTAAACCCGGTAATAGTCCCGTATGTCTGTAATTTCACCTTACGCTTCAATACCGGAATGGAAATGGAAGGCAGTAATGTTATTTTTACAATACCTAGTGACAGGATGAACAGATCGTGCGCGTGGTGATAAGATCTTGAAATCATAAAGATTGGAGTGGCATTAAAAGTGCCCCCGTCACTCTGAGACTTCAGTTAACAAGTTCTATGTTTTTTTTCTTCCAATAGCTTACAAATACAATGGCAATTTGTACGGATATAAATTTAAACAATGCTAAAATGGGAGACTGGTGTCCAACCTAGGTAAAAAAACCTGTGTTATGGATCACCAGGCCTCCACCCCACGGACATGACTGTAAAATTGTACATAATAGACTCATAAGTTTAGGCAGCTATTATACAAGTATAACATAAAAGTTTAATAAAAATGGACTCAAACACGGATGTATGTGCGTGTTTGCGTATGTGCGTGTGCCTGTAATTTCACCAGTACCCTCCCTCCTAAACTGGAACGCAGTAAGTAACGCTCACTTTGCTGCTTGGCGGTAGAAATAGGAAATGTGGCAGTACTGCCCTGGACGAACTCTATCACATGGAGCTCTACTGCTATTTAATACTATTCTAGTGCATTCTCTAGGCACATCCCGGACACTCCATACAACGGTGGAAAATAATTTACCTACTACTACTACATACAGCAAGGCGCTATCTGCACAAGCGCAAATGTGTGCGTGTCAGGGTTACCCATCACTTTCTCGTACTATTATTACATTACGTGGTCAAATTGATTCGGCAACATAGCGAAAATTCTAAGGCGTTCTATTATAGAATCCTAATAATTACACATGTTCATTACGTAGGTATTTATATAGATATAATATTGTATTTTTCACTATCTTTAACAATATGGAAGATTTATTTAAAAAATATATTAAAAACACACTAAAATGTTATATTTTGCACAGGTACCTTTAAATATTAGAACCAAAGTATTAGAAATTGCGTGTCCAAGTTTATCATTACCTAGTTAATAATTAGGTATATTCACTACGTTATATTTATCGGCAATACAAATTGAAAATTCGAGAACCCTTGTCTAACTCACTAAGTTACGGCGTCTTATTATATTGATATAATAAATCTGTGTTATATATACTCTGCACTAGAGAAAACAATATTTGAATGAGTCTCAGACATAAGTTTTTTTACTTACTTCGTTTCATCTTTCAAAAAACGACAGAAACTCCTCTCTTTATCCCGTTTAGATGATTATGAACAGCCGTACACAACACAATTCACGACCATTATAAATAATAACGCAAAATGATGTTATATATTAACGTACAAATTTCTTAATGAATAAATGAAAACTGTATTCAAATATCAAAGCCGTCTTAGCGCGAAAAAGCTCGCCGACAGCCTTGTTGCCGTTCAGTCAATGTGACCGTCAATGTGCGGGGCATGGTGCGGTATCTAAAGCTAGGGAGGGGCGAAGAGTGTCCGTTCTCATTACTTATTTGTTCTCTAGATCAATGGAAGTAACAATCGTAACACATATTCGAAAAATTTTGCGAATTAAAAAAAAGATATGGGTGACACGTTCCCAGCTTTGGGACGAACGATGAAACTTACCAAAATAGTATAGTTGACGAAAACACCCTGGTTGTGCTCGTCACCGCGGTGGACAGAGTTCACGGTACCGCTTACAAAGTCATCGGAGAAAGGAGTCATAGAAAATGCCGAATCGATCTGGAAACAAAAAAATTGTAATATTTATTTTGACCTGACTTTATTAATGTCGTACTTCAATCTCCACAGATTATGTTAACTACAGTGTTGCCATGTTTATGTAACCAGAATAAAAAAATATTCAGGTATTAAGTTTATTGAATTTTACGAGGTTTTACGAAATTAATAATAAAAAATTCCTTTGATTCGGCTGGATTCGAACCAGCGCCTTCAGCATACCGTGTCTGACGCGCTCCCAACTGGGCTACGTCACGAACCAGCAGACCTTATGAATTTTTGTACATGAACGTTGCAGATCTTTTTCATTTTTAACGACTTTGTTGCCGTAACGCCATCTGTGAGAAATCTATGAATTACTCTAGGTTTGGTAATTTTTTTTGTTAAATTACACAATTTAATTGTTTCCGTGACTAAAATCATGTTTCGAGACTCAAAAATACCAAAAAGTCGTCGAGATTTTCGAAATTTCCGAGATGAAGATTCCCGGGATAAGAGCTCTATTAACGGGTTCCTTTCAGATTGTTTGTTTCTGATATTTTAACGTAAAAATTATAAACTATAAATTTGAACAAATAAACGAATTTGAGAAAATATGCAATGAAACTAAACGCTAGAATTTCTTACTCACTCTTCTCAGGGGAATCTTTTTTACGAAATAGCAACTGTGTTTACTAAAGCCTTCGCGATTTAAGCGCACAATCAAGTCTGCTCTCACGTCTGCATCAATGTAGTGTAGTCATAATTTTTTTCTGTGTATTTTTAATTTATGTACTTAATTATATTTATTATATGTATTTAAATTATTTTTAATTAGATTATCTTGTTTTTAAGTCACTTTTTAATAATAACATTTAATTAATTGTAGCTATTTATAATGTATAAGTTATTATTTTTTTAGTATTGGATTTACTTGTTTTGATTTTCTGTCGTGTCCACATTTGCATGCCGTGTCAATGTGTCACTGTTTCAACTTTGATATATTTAATTCATGTCTTGTTGATTGTCCTAAAAATAAATAATATGCATTTGACGACTTGGTACCAATTTATCGGGTCATCATCGGCGAACAATGGCTTACACTCTCTTCTTAGAAGAGACAGAACAATCAGTACAAAGTACTAAAAAACCGATCTCAAAAGTACGTGGAATTACATCTGTTTGCCAAGTTTTACTTAAATCGGTTACCGGAAAGTGCGCAAACCCGGATTCATCCCCTAGTTCGCCACTATACGGGACTTGACATAGGAGATAATAAAAATCGCTCTCACTACTCAAAGTATATTGAGAGAAAAACGCCTTGAATTGGACAATAGCAAATTCAACCATTAAAATAATTGCTCTTTATAATAAAATGTAGGCGCTATTAATAAAAATGAATCTTCATGAGTGAACAGAAAATCATCCACCTCTGGAGGTGGATAATTTTCTTCAATATGAAATGGGACCACTATGGAGGCACCCTCTTTCCAACAAAAAAACGAATCATCAAAATCGGTTTACACCGGAGTTACCGCGTAGCATACATACAATAAAAACACAGTCGAATGGAAGACCTCCTAATTTTTTTAAAAGCGGTTAAAAAGAAGGACCTTAATTTTAATACTTACAGCTCTTACGGCTTCGTATGCCAACTGCTGGTATGGATCAGAATCTTTATCCATTAATTTGTTGTCCCACGCGATCTACAAGTTTAAATAGTATTTTATTATAATTATTAATACAAAGATCGAACACTCAGAAAAAAATCCTTCAATCCGGCCGGACTCGAACCGACGTCTTCTAGCTTACCGTGTCAGACGTTATACCAACTAAGCCACGGAACGAACCAGCGGACCTCACGAATTTTTTCTGTGTGCTTGCGTTCTAATGTATTTTATTTTGCTAAGACACGACCAGAAATATGTACATTATTTTCAAAAAATAACAACCAAAGCTCTTCTTTGCAACTCTTTGCCGGCCTTGGCAAAAAGTGAAGATTTCTATAGATTTCATTTCTATTCGCTGTTCTAAACTTTTTAACATGGAAGTGGCGGTATTCCCCGGCAATGGCACAGTTGGCCGGAGTCAGGGACTCAGTTCAAAAACACGTGCCTTACTGAGTAGTACAACTTTCTGCAAAACAAGTAGTGCGCCTGGTGGTAAGCGACACGCCTGTCCCTAACAGTTACAGTGCCACTCAGAGCTATAAATCACAAAAATTTGAGGGGCATTGTCACTGCGCCTGACACCTGACACATAAGTTGACAAGTCCCATGTGCCTGTAATTTCACCAGCACCCTTCGAAACCAGAACGCAATAATGTTCACATTGTGGCAGTACTTCACTGAACAAACTCTTGCACAAGGTCCTCTACTGCTAGTAAATATCATATTCAGTTTATATACATTATGTCCTGTTTAATAATTTGTGAAACAGCGCCACCTCTTGGCTCCAGTTGAAATTACTTAGAAAATGTATGAAGTTAACATAGTAGGCTTACTTTTCTGTCATACAGCTTGTCGACTCGCAAATTGAGTACCAAGGAGACAATACGCCGGCACGGGTCTCTGTGTATCCGACGAGCATAACCGGGTCTACATTGGCAGCTTGATATTCCTGTAAAAGAGAAAGAGAAGTTATTTAAGTTGATGTTAAGAGGGAGAGAATACATGTACTGGAAGGGAGTTCCATTTGTTGACTGTGCGACAGAGAAAGCTGCCACCAACCCCTTCAAAACCATGACTATACTATATGGTCACCAGTGTTGAGTACGTTGAAGAGGTAGTAGTCAATACTGAAGGCGGTGGTTCGAATCGAAAGAATTTTTCTTAGTGTTCAAACTTGGTATTAACAATCATAACAAAACTAGTGGAGTCATTTTCAAGTTTACCGTAGCGCCATCTGTGAGAAATATATGTGACACAGGTTACCACCTAGTTCAGGGGTGGAATGTATCGCCATCTATTTTAGACACTGTTGTACAAAACCTGTTTAATTTTAAAGTATGCCATGTAACATATTCTATTTTTATGTACAATAAATTATTGTCATTATTATTTTTTCTCTCAGCCAGGTACAGCTACCAGCAGCTGACTAGTGGAGTAATTTCACCCTTTAATATCATAACAGTAAAATATCGTGATTTTCAACAAACTTAATACAACAATTATTAAAGCAACGTCTCTAGTCAGTCGCTGGTAGTAAAGGTACCTGCCTGAGTGAAGAAAAACTTTCATAGATTTCTCACAGATGGCCCTAGGGCAAAAAGTCTCTCAAAACTAAAAACAAAGATATGCATCGAATAATTTGTAAGATCTGCTGTTTTGTTCCGTGGCACAGTATGCTGACGAAGCTGGTTTGAATCCAGGCGGTTCGAAGGAACGTTTCTTAGGGTTCGATCTTTGTATTAGTAATTGTAACTAGTGGAGTAATCATTTAACATCACGGTACTAAATCATCGTGATATTCAATAAGCATAATAATAAGTTAAAGAATCCATAGTTTTTTGTTACAAAAATTTACCTGCTTCCGTTCTGCATTTCTCGTTCTGCGCTTGGTCACACGTAGAATCATCTCCAACAATGCAAGTGTCGATCCTACAACAATAATAATAATAATAATAACAACGCACACACTCAACATAGACCCAGGAAACCCTGTATCGCGAGTGCCATGGACACACATTGATAACCACAAATTACACCCAAACTCACGAAAGAAATAAATGTAGGCCATACAAATATTTCTCCCGGCCCGGGAATCGAACCTGGGACCTCCGCGTGGCAGTCCAGTGGCAGTATGGTGACCGTTAATGACACGATGACGTTAATAACGGAGACAGTTAATGACAAAAATGATGAAGAAACTTGTCATACAACATCAAAATCAAAATTACTTTATTTAACACAGAATTCTGTAACAAATGAGTCCATGAATCGGCTGCCGAGGACTATGAAGTACATTGTCCTTGATATTCAGGCATTGCTCATGTGAAACCCTGAAATTCAACAATCACACACACCAAATGAAAACGCTTCCTCTCACATCAATCTACTACATACACGTTCGTTTATTGAGTACTCCGTTCCAATTGTGAAGGATAAGGGTGCTGGTGAAGCTACAGTCACACGGGTCTTGTTAACTTTACGTCCCAGAGCGACGGATACAATGGCAACCCCTCAGATCTTTGCGAATCGAAAGACGCCGCTTACCGTCAGGCGGACGATTTGTCTGTCTCGTCTTAATTAATGACAGCCTCAATCTGATCGGTCTCTTTCTCTTAAGTCTGGCGATAAAAACTTCAAATACGCATACAAATAAATATACCCACCGAACAGTCGCCTGTGGTCTCCTGTACGGCTGCTGCGGTCTATGATGACTTGCATGGGACTGTGGTGGGTGAGACTGGTGAGGCGCCTGTGGTCTCCTCACAGGGGGCTGTAGAATGTCATCAGCTGGAATGGCTACTCCTGTTCCTATTGGACTGGAAAGTGGGGGCGGCACGAGGGGTGGTACTGCAAAGAAAATAATAAAGTTTTAAATAAAATATCCTCTGAAATAATGTCAGATTAGGAACCGTCTCTAACGAAAAAACAGTAATTAATTACAGGCACATGGGACTTGTTAACTTGAGTGTCAAGATGAAGGGACTTTAGCAATGCCCCACAGATATTTGTGATTTAAAACTCTGAGTGACACTGCTGTAGAAAGGTGTATCGCTTATCACCAGGCGTACGACTTGTTCGTCCCTTCAGTTGGTATCACATAAAAAAGTAATATTTCTCTTTATCTGACAGTCGTATACTATTGCATCAGACTCATAATCCAATTTTATGGTTTCATTAGACTAACCCTTAGAGTCGCCTATTAGTATTGTTCTATCAATTTCATTAAACCCTTACGGAGTGGAGAAGCAACTGTTTTCCTGTTATTTCAATGAACATCAAGCTATAAAATGCCCAAGCTGTCTGGTAATGCCACTGTCCTAACTAAAAGTTTGACGAGAAATTCCTCACCCGAATGCTGCAAACTCTGCACTCTAGTTGGCCGAACACTAACTCCCACAGAAGAACTGTCGAAGAGGTTTAGATACGTCCTTTTGCCATCGATGGATACGAAACCTTGGTCGCCTGACGCCGATACTATGATGTCGTCGTGGTCTGGACCACCGAGATTAATGTTTTCAATGTGCACTGAAATAGAAATTTTTGTTATTTTATTTGGTACACGATTAACTGTTGCAAGAAATCTGCAAAATAAACTAGTGGACATTACTCGTGCAATATATTCTTACAGTGTTGCAGTGTGGACGCTGGACAAAGAGATCCTGGTTTGGATCCTGGTAAGATCAATTTGGGGAATGAACATTTATAAATTGGTTCTGGTCTGGGTGTTCCCGGTAGTAGTAGTGTCCCGGAGAGAACCCTAAGAGCAGGTATCTGGCACAAGAAGCATACTAAATAGGAGGAAGGCCAAAGGAAGGAAGGTTAAATTGCGTGAAAGATGATGGGAGTGAACAATGAAATGGCGGATGAGAGAGATGAATGGAAGAAGTTCCATTTGGAACTCAGAAACTGAATACCACAAGTCACATATCAGATTTTTTGTCACTTAGGTGATAATAAAATTAACTTTGATGGAGCACTAGGAACACTTCATTCTGAACCAAATCAAAAATAACCATTTCTTCATTTCCAAGCAATAATCCATTCTGAGACCACCTCACATAGCGCTCATGTCGTTAGTCGCTGAGTCGACAGAGTAGTAACTATTGTAATAGTGCCTATGGCTTAGGTACTTCTTTATTTACTTACCAGAACCACCCTTTTCTCCTCCTGGACCATGAATAGCTGAAACAGTGACATCAAAGATCTCTCCAAATCCTGGAGGCAGCCTGGTTTCCGTGGCTGTAATTACTGGGACCTCCATTGGTAATCGAGACCCGTGGGGCTTGAAGTCAGGGTCGTCCAGGACTATACCTGGTCGGGGGCGATAGGGGTGGTAGGGTATGCCTTGAGGTGCTGAAAAGAAGAATGAATTTGAGAAATTGCTCTTACGATTTTAGAAAAAAAAATACGCTTGGATATTAGGAGCAAATTGCAGGAAAATTGTGATACGGTATAATGTGTATAGAGACCGTGACAGGTGCTCTTTCTAGAATTTGGCGAAATATTTATGCACGGTATACTACATACTATATATAGACATTGCAGGTCATACTTGATAGATATGTTAATGCCCATAATGAATGTGTTTGTTTAAGGTCAATTCAATCATGAGACCTATATGCCTATCTGTATGTTTCTTGCTATTTATTAATAAATTCAAATATTACTTTAATTAATCTATAATAAAGCCAATAAACACAGACCTAACTTGTTATTTGAATAAAATTATTAAAAGTAAAGTACATACGAGAGGTGTTCAAAATCACACGGAGCTAAGTCGGGTGAGTAGGGAGCCTGACGAATCACAATAATGATGTGTTTGGTGAGAAAACCCTGAACCAAATGGGCAGGTACGTTCATGATGGAGCTGCCAAGTTATTGCTGCCCACCGATTAGATCGTTTGCGATAAAAGGTTCCATACATTTTCAACAACCCTCGTATAAACAAGTTCAAGAACTTAGTTTGTAAAATTAATAAATTAAGTCCCAACAAATGATCCACTAAACCAAATCCGGTTTGGAGTTCTAACAACCGCTAAGATGTAAATAGAGTGTAATTATCGATAATGGACAAAAATAGTCTTTATATTGCAATATTTTAACTGATTACTTACTTGGGGAAGGTTGTGTATTTATAGAAGACGTTTTGATGATTTCGCTAGAACTTGATACGCTGATTGTAGGTGCATGCGAGATCAGACCATCTGTTGGTGTTGGGTGAGCAATCGATGGTGCTATTGGCGATTTGATCTCGAATATTGATGATTCTATTAAAGGCTCTGTTAACGTTTCGTCTTTTATTTTATCTGTAGTTTTGTTTGAAGTTTTTTCTTCTAAAGGTTTGTATTTGTCTTTGTTTTTCTCAACTTCTTTCTTTTTGTCAGGTTTCGTAGGTTTTTCAGTCTTTTTCTCAGTAGTTGTAGAAGGTTTTTCTGTTGTGGGTTTTTCTGTTATGGGTTTTTCAGTTGTTGTAGGTTTGTCTGTTGTCGATGATGTTGTTGTTTCTGTTGTAGTAGTAGAGGTAGCTTCTGTAGTTGTGATCGGTTTTTCATCTAGGGATACTTTTTCTGAATCATCCGTGCTGCCATGTTCCGTTTCTTTGTCTTTATCAGAATTATTATTTTCCTGATTTGTAGTAGTTGTGTTATTAATAGAGGTGGTGTTAAATTCGGGAAGATTAATTATAGGTACGGTTCCTTTATCATCATGATGAATATTATTCTCCGAATGACTAGTTTCGTTTTCGTTGTATGGAAGTTCTTCATCAGGTTTAGAGTCATCTAAGTCAGGAAGATCTTGGGGAATTGGAGGCATAGGTTTATACATGGGAAGACCAGGGTTTGGTCTTCGATTTGGTGGCCTTGGTCTTGGTCTTTGCCAAGGAGGCAACGGCCTGTGAAACCCTGGTCTATGAGGTAGAGGAGGCACAATTTGCTCAGGCAAATTGACACCATGATGAGGTGGTCTATCAAAGGGATATGGAGGTGGAGTTTTAGTAGGGTGGAAAACATGCGTTGGCGGGGTTATAGGTTTATCAAAATCTGGTATAATTGCTGGAACGTCAGATATTCTCGGTGGTCCACGATTATTGATTCTGGAAGCCATAGGCCGACCTGGTCGTCCATTCAAGAGTTGGGAATTAGCCTGAACGTTTACGTTTCCATTTAACAACTTGACAATACCAGTAATAATGTTCTGGATTTCTGTATTTTGTCGACCTTGGTCCTTAAGGGAGGCTGTGGCGAATATGGGTTGCACTGCAGTAGGCTTGATTTGGGGTCCCATAGCGCTCAGTGCACGCGCTTTTGGGACCCTCTGCCCTTCCCCCGGAAACCTAAATTCTAATTTATCTCCAAACCCTTCAGACATTAAAATTTCATCGTCATCATCTCGTTTATAAAAATTTGCAGTTTTCGTTGGATGAATCTCATAGTACTTTCTCTTATTATGTAGTTCTATTTCGCTGTCGATTTCGTTGTTATTAGAAACAGGCACGTCCTCAATGTTTATAGATCTAGATTCTCTGTTAGGATCAGCAGATCTTGCTACTATTATATGCTTCTCTCTTTCTTCTTCGTTGATAATATCTTCCGGAGGGATATCATCGACATCATCGATGTGACCATCATGTATTAAGCTAGGTTCTATGTTAAATGCTAAGTTTTCAGTCTGGCTGGTTTGTAGGACAACACCTTCCGGTAGTTGGTCGTCGCTTACAGACTTTGGCGATAGTTGGGAAATTGTGTAGGTTTCTTCGTAACCTGGAAATAGAAAAAGATAGTATTGGTTAAACTTTTATTTTGTAGTTGTATTAGTGTCATAGAATAAAAATATCAGTTCGCTTCACAAAGAAAGTTACTTTATAAAGTGTTCACTTTCGGTAACCAATTGGCATAATTTTGCAGTTAATAATAACTACTAGGATAAAAGGAAAAGTGTAAGGCACGCGTGGTTAACAACGGACGATGATAAGTTATTTCGACCAAGTAAAAAAGAAAGATTAATGTTATATTGTATGTGGAAGTTATAGCGAAGGCTTTCGACCCATGCACAAGGTACAACAGAAAATAGAGTCGTTCTATGTTCTCGTCGACCCCATCCAGTTTTCATTAGTGATAAAGGGAGCACGGGATTTCAAAGGATAATATAAGGAAGTAAATGAATTTGTTAAAACGCCTGTCAAGGACAGCCAGTTTATTTTTATTCCTCGTATTAATGTTGTATATCCCTATTTTTCACGACAGGGTTACTATCATAAGAGTCTATACTACCTTAGCTCGAATTCAAATTCCCATACTAATACGGTTCATTACGTTTGGATCGAGGGGCAGGGACACTGGCTTTATTTCAGAATTTGTTTTGTTACAAACGAAATTATAGCCATTTCAAAAATGTATATCGTTATACGTGTCCAGTGTTTCCAGTTCAGTTGATATTAAAAAATCATTGGTGTATGTAAAGTACTCATTGAATACAGCGGCTTTCTTGTAAAATTTCGAAGTAAGTTTGTGTTTTTTTTTCTATCGTGAATTTTTTTTATTCACACCGTATATTAATCAGTGCATATCCTCAATTTTACTACATATTTTTCGTTATGCGGAATCATTCAAAGAGCTATTGACCAACCATTTGAGGTAGCATAGATTCTTGACAGTGTTGATGTTAATTTCTTTAAACTTATCTCTGAGAAACATTAGTAATATACGGTTATGTGACAGAGTGGGGTACAATAGTGTGATCCGTGAACGATGTGGTTTGAGAGAGGAAGTGGTGATAAAAAAAGAGAAAGGTATGTTTAGATGAATGAAAGTATAGTGAGAGACTTATAGAACCGACGTGGAAGACAAAAATGAAACAACGTCCACGCTTGCAACAAAGCCTGAATACATAGTAAGAAGAATAAGAGGAGTTGTATGAAAATATTAATTACTGTAAGTGAAGTGTAATATGTTTGTCAAGATGCAAAACGGTGGTCGATTATATGTATATGTATCTCTAGGGAACATTCAGGGGCTTAGTTCTGCAATTGAATCGTATCCCAGCCATGAAATATCATCTTAAAGTAGGTAAATAAAGTACTTATTTATTGAATTTTTTTGTGCAACAACTCCACTAGTTTTGTTATCATTATGAACACAAAGATCGAAGACACAGAAACAAGACTAGCGGCGACGAATGCCGAAGAAGTCAGTACGAAGATCTATAACGAAAACACATAGGAGAATTTCGACGATTCGGTAACTGGATCTGTGGCTAAAATGGTTAGTTAGAGCAATGATAAGATGCAGCATGGACGTGGGCTCAAGTCCCACCAGGACCCCGGACCAGAAACCCAGGACCTCTTCTATATATTAACCGAATCATTCGATTGGATATCGTTCTCGAATCGAAAGGCGCTTTCCGAGCTATTCAGAACATTCCGAGTTAAACGTTCTTTTCGGATTCGGATACGATATCGTTATCGTTATCCAACAGCGTTTGCGGAATTAGTCGGTGAAATAGATTATAAGAAAAATGAACATCTTTTCATATACAGTTTTAAGACTTTAAAGTCCTAAAATATAAGAATGCATTGGTCTTGCATTAAAATAAATTAATAAAATTGAATAAAACCCAGATTTTATTTAAATTAATAAGAGATTTTCATATTACATTCTTGCTTCGTAAACAATAGGACGTTCGGTAACTGTGTTCTAAATAACCTTTGCAGCCTTTGCCGGTCGAGAAGCACAGGTAATCATACGGGTGTGACGTCTATTCGACAAATACAAAGACATCGGTCGACAACTGATTCATAATGAAAATAAAGTTTCTTTTTTTCATTCCATTGATATATCTAGTGTATCCCAGCAGATGTCTTTGAAATTCCCAACAAAATAGAGATCCATTATCGACTATACTCCGTGAAACCACTTATTTAAGTTTTGACATATGCATGCCTCCGAAGTTCCGTAATAATTGACATACAACCATGGACACAAAAATGCAGTACTTCCTGGACTCTTTTATTTTTAAATTTTACTGAAACGACGTGCTCTTTAGCTCCGATATTTATCGGGGTAACGATTCGCTCTGGGCCTTTTGGAGGAAAGACTGTCGTTTTTATTTTGACTTTCAATTGTTTTGTGAAATCTAGTTTAAAGTGGAATAGGATTTAAATTATACGAATCTCGAACTAAAATACCCGTATCGGCCCGTTCTAAGGAATCCCAAGTCTCGCCCTTTGTGGCGGCCATATTTACAGAAACATAATTAAACGAAGACATGGCTGAAAAGGCGTATCCAAGCCAAAATTATTAATAAACAAGAATTTCGGGCCAACATATTATTTAACGAAGATTATTAGACAATTATAAATAATTATAATAAATTCTTATTGTTGATTGTTTTTGATAGATGAATTGTCGGATTCTTCTCTTGATATGAACGGGAATCACCACTTGAATCCTCATTAACATAAATTGTTGATTCTTGAGCACACAAATTGTCAAAGCAACATCACGATCTCAATCAGACAATCTTCTTTTTTAAACCCGCTTATTATCACGATTAAAACTTCTTCAATAAAAAATCGAATCGGAAACGCATTAAGACATCACTAATTGATTAGAATTCGAGCTGTCAAAAGTTGAATAAGAAGTTGAAGTCGAGAAGATGTACGTTTCAACAACAAAATAGTATATCATTATTTTGACACCATCTCCACATCGCTAATTCAAAATTACGAAACACAATTGATCGCTGAAATGTAGCTCTACTCAGCTCCACTTTCATAGACAATGGAACTACGAATAACTGTCAGGTTGTCACACTTTCACTATCCGCCAATAAAGATTATGTCAAAATTTCCTTTCGACTTCTAAAAGCTTCAACAAACAGACTAGCTAGTCTAATTAACGAATTTTAATGAAGCACCCAGCCGTGTTGGAATAGGGTTGTCCAAAATAGGAGTTTTCGGATCTAAAATCGTTTACTAGAATTTCTTTTCGGTATTTTTTTTAAAGGATATGTATAACATGAAATAAGGAACGTTTGTGGAGTTTACACTTCGAATATCTAAGCATAGGTAACATAAGTTAGGTTATTATAAGCCCTATGAAACGAGAATAAGTTAAAAAACGACTAAAATGAGGAAAATATATTTTTTATGATTATCAAGTGACGGGAGGAACCAGTCGTGCGCCTAATGATAAGCATCATGATCCTTCTAATAACAGTTGCAGTGCCACTCAGAACTTCAATGTGTGAAAAGACTTGACTTGAGGGGCACTGTCGGTTCACCCGTCACCCTGAAATATAAAGTTGACAAATCCCATGTGCTTAAAGCTTCAACACCACCTTTCAAAACAAGAAAGCAGTAATGCTCACATTCTGCAACTGTCGGATAAGTCGTGTTTTTAATTCGATTGTGACTAAGTAGTCACATATTTTATTTCGGATACGGTTACGGGTACGAATTATACACATCACTTTATATAATGGACCATCACTAGCACTGTCTTACCGCGACACAATCTTCGTGTACCGTGACGTGATACGTAGAGCACGCGCACAGTGCACTGCAGAGAAATCTTGCACACGTCATTGAAGTCGGAGATAATGTTCGATAATTACTAACATTTTATTTACTTGTATTATTGTTAGAACTTAAAGAACAATGGCAAAAACATTGTTAAAAGAATTTTTAGTGTCTTTAAATGTCATAATTACAAGATGGATAAAATAAATAAATTAGATTGCTTAAGTTACACTAAAGGTCTGTCTAAGTCCGGCAATAAATTCATATTTCGGTCATTCTCGGACTAGTGTTCACTATCTAATTATCGTGGCAATTTTTATTATTTAAAATTCAAGTATATTATCGTGTAATTATTGAATAATATTAACTGCCTCAGTGGCCGAACGGACTGCAACGCAGAGGTTCTAGGTTCGATTCCCAGGCGGGCAGAAATATTTGTATTGCCTACATTTATTTCTCTCGTGAGTTTGTAGTAGTAAAAGTAAACAAACAAGTCACTGACCCGACCACGGACGGTTTATAGATGATCAATTTTATTGCCACCTACAAATCGATTAATTAAATGAATCGATTTGTTTAATTTAGTCATAGTAGCAGTTTTCATTACGTAACCTATAAAAGCATATTTAAAATTTCCGAAATCTTAATAACTTAAAAGTGTAGGGACACTTAAGACACTCGTTCGATTGCGATTGAAATTTTCGATTTACTAATCGAATACAGAAACTTTAATTGAATGAACTGATTTTTTTTCTGAACAGCAGTACCTATACAACCATAGACTATTCATACGTCTATAATTAAAATATAACCTCACTTTTTGATTACCATTTATCAGATACGATTTTACGATGTTATTCAAATGAATATTGTTGTAAACAGTGATGAGATATCAAGTCAAAATCTTCGAAATATACGTGAAAGTGTTATTTATTCAAATTATTGAGTGATTGCTTCTGAAATTCCACCAAACCGTTTTGTTTACATTTCATTTAAAATGGATGGACTATAGCTCGCGTGCACATAAGTTCCGAGAAAGTCAGAGGTGCGAGCCCGAAATCGAACCCATGGCCTTTGCTTCAGAGACGATAGATCAAACTATTAGGCTGCCACGGCTTTTTTCTTCCGAGACGAAAAACGACAAAATACTATACAAAAATTTAAAGAAACCTGCATATGGAGATTGTTTGTCGAACAGCCATCGTCGACAACGATTAAGACATTGCCCCTCTCACAGGAAGG